GAGAAAGGATGTAGAGAAACTGGAAAGGAAACTGGAAAGGAGTGACAAGGATGATCAAAGGGATGGAGTGCAAGCCATAGGAGCAAAGACTGAAGGAACTGGGTATATTTAGTTTGGAAAAGAGGAGATTAAGGGGAGACATGGGATCTGCCTTCAAATACTTGAAAGGCTGCCATAAGAAAGATGAAGAAACGTTGTTCTCTCTTGCCACAGAGGGCAGGACAAGAGGCAATGGGTTCAACTACAGCACAGCAGATTTAGATTAAATCTTAGGAAAAACTTCCTAACAGTAAGAACAGTAGGACAGTTAAACAAACTGCCGAGGCAGGTCATGAAAGCTCCTTCCCTGGAGGTTTTTATAAAAAGGCTGGATAGCCATCTGTCTTGGATGGTTTAGACACAAGTCCTGTACCTTGGCAGGGAATTAGACTAGATGACCCTTGTGGTCCCTTCTAACCCTATGATTCTATGATTCACCCATCTGTTATGTCTTGTCTTCCACTAAGGCCCCAATCCTGCAATGAGCTCTACATGGGCAGACTATGGACTGAAGTTAGTGGGGTACCATGAAGGCATAGGGAGTCTGCACATGTGCATGCAGTTAGAGGACTGGGGTGTCTGACTCAAGACACTCAGACTTGAAGTTCAGAGATGCTGCAGCTGAAGGCAATGGGAACTACAGAGGCTCAGAATCTCTGTCTCATGTTGGACGCCCAAATACAAATACAATGTTCCTGGCTATTTTTGAAAAGTGTGACTTAAGTGATTTACTTGCTCGTAGTCAGAGGGGGTCAGAGAGTGGATTATAACAATGGCCCAAGAGATCTGATGCTCACACATTTACTCCTAGGTTCTGTTCTTATCACACCTTCAGTACCATAATATTTGAGTGCTTTCCCGTGAGGCATTAAGCAATGTGACTAACTAACCTGGTTCACCCTCTCATCATCTCCCCAGAGGGAGATTGTGTGTGTAGTGAGTGATTTGGTTTCATAGGCCGCTGGGTTTTTAATAGGTATGTGCTGTTCTGTGATTAAGCCAGTTGAGGCAGGCTGAAGAAGTTCACCTTGCACTGGGAGTAGAAAACGGTTTGTGAGGCTCCTTAGTACCTGTGGGTGTTTGTTCCAGGCTCTGTCCAGCCCCCGAGGACGCTCTGTCTCCTGCACACACAAGTCTTATCCTTGTGGGAGAAAATTCCACTGTTCCTGAGGAGCAAAGTTGTCGACCCTGGTCCTCATCCCAGTGCTTGAGGCGATCTTCCTCAATCTTGTTTCACCTGCAACTCCGGAATTACTTGACTTTGACTCTGATCCCACACCCCAGAATCCTTTGTGCTTCTTCGAGCAAAAAAAAAAACTAAGAATTTGCTATTTTTTAAAAGCTCATCATGCCATACATGGCCAAAGTCAGCCTATGCAGGTGAAATTTGCCTTGTGCAGAGGGCAGCAGTGCCAACCCCAAATGTTAGTTTGCACTTGGGTCACATTTTCAAGCTTTACCCAACAACCAGGAGAGCTAGAAACTTACTCTGGTTTTAAATATTAGCCGAGGTTCTCATGTAATCACGTCTCTGGGACCTGGAGCTTTATGTAAAATATCAAATATTGTGAGGCTCCAAATCAAACGACTCTCTGATACAAATAAAATGGTGAGAGCTGGCAATGTGGCCATATCCAGCGCAAGGTCCAGCTGTGGCGGCAGACGGAAGGGAGGTGGCCAAAGCAGCAAAGAACGAGGGTGGATTAGCAGAGAAGGGCGGAGATGTTAAAGGCCAAGCGTGGGTTTGAAGCAGCGTGACTGGGACGGTAAATGATCTCAGCAACCCAGGCCCACATAGGGCCATGGCAGTGTTGCCAACGCTCATGATTTTAATGAGTCTGGCAATATCTGGTATTTTCTTTAAAGTCCCTGCTCCTGGACTCCCGTTATCACGCGACAATCACAGCTCTCATTGTTAAAAGAGTCACACGCCGGCCCTGCCGGTGGTGGAGAAAAACGAGGAAACGGCTCAGAAACCAGGCGGCCAATCAGCACCCGCAGATGTATTAGTTTTTTTAATCTGGCGACGGGGGGGCCCTGAGCGGGGCTTTCCCGGCCGCAGAGGGTGTCGGGGCCACTCCGCAGGGGGAGGCTCCTGGCACCCAGCCCTCAGCAGGTGCAGCCCCCGATGCAGCTGCCACCTCCCTCTCCCCGGCCCCCCAATCCCCACAGGGCTGCAGCTCCCCCCCCCACAAGTGATAACCCCCAGGGGGCCCCCTCCCTCTCTAGTGATGTCACAGGCTCCCCCCAGTGATGTCACAGGGTCCCTCTCTAGTGATGTCACAGGACTTCCAGAAGATTCCCCAGGGATTCCACTTGGCTGCATGTTAGAGGAGCCAATGAGAAAGCGCAGGGCGCGTTGTGACGGAGTCAGATGGACCAATAATAAGCCGCTATGGGCGGTGCTGGGTTTCTCCGACCAATGAGAGGGGGTGGGAGGCGGGCACTAGCGTGTGATCGATAGGGAAATGAACCACTCGCACCTGGGAAGTGGCAGACACTCCGGGCCGTTTCCTACGGCAGCACGCCTGGGAGCCGCCCCCCCGGCCAGACCAATGAGAGTAGACGGATGTCGGGATTGGCAGCCACAGTGGCCAATGGGATTTCGAGGGCCGGCCGTGGGCTTGTGGGTGGGCCGGCGGGTTGCTATGCGGGGGCGGGCTCCCCCTCACGTCACGGCCCGGCTGGCTCGGGGGGAGGTGGCTGGCGGAGCCTCAGTGTGCGCGGCGGCCTGGGACGGCGAGAGCGGTGAGTGCGGGGGGGGCCGCCGCCGCCGAGACCGCTGGGGGATCGGGGCCCCCCCCGGAGTGTCAGGGCCCCCCCCGCGCGCACCCGGGAAGGGGGGGCTGAGTGTCGGGGCCCCCCCCCGCGCGCACCCGGGAAGGGGGGGCTGAGTGTCGGGGCCCCCCCCCGCGCGCACCCGGGAAGGGGGGGCTGAGTGTCGGGGCCCCCCCCCGCGCGCACCCGGGAAGGGGGGGCTGAGTGTCAGGGGGGGCCCCCCGCGCGCACCCGGGAAGGGGGGGCTGAGTGTCAGGGCCCCCCCCCGCATGCGCACCCGGGGGAGGGGCACGGGGCTGAGTGTCAGGGCCCCCCTCCCCACGCGCACCCGGGAAGGGGGGGCTGAGTGTCAGGGCCCCCCCTGCACCCGGGGGGGCAGGGGCTGAGGGGGCCCCCCCCCGCACACCCGGGGGGAGGGGCACGGGGCTGAGTGTCAGGGGCCCCCCCCCCACGTGCACACCCGGGGGAGGGGCACGGGGCTGAGTGTCAGGGCCCCCCCTCCACGTGCACACCCGGGCGAGGGGCACGGGGCTGAGTGTCAGGGCCCCCCCCCCTCCACGTGCACACCCGGGCGAGGGGCACGGGGCTGAGTGTCAGGGCCCCCCCTCCCCACGCGCACCCGGGGGAGGGGCACGGGGCTGAGTGTCAGGGCCCCCCCGGGTGCGCATGCCGGGAAGGTGGGTGGCACGGGGCTGAGTGTCAGGGGCCCCCCCCCACGTGCACACCCGGGGGAGGGGCACGGGGCTGAGTGTCAGGCCCCCCCCGTGCACACCCGGGGAGGGGCACGGGGCTGGGGTCACCCCCCCCACGGGCACACCCGGGGGAGGGGCACGGGGCTGAGCCCCCCCGGGGAGGGCACGGCTGAGTGGGCCCCCCCCCCACGTGCACACCCGGGGGAGGGGCACACCGGGAGGGCACGGGGCTGAGTGTCAGGGCCCCCCCCCCCACACACACCCGGGGGAGGGGCACGGGGCTGAGTGTCAGGGCCCCCCACACACACACTGGGGGAGGGGCACGGGGCTGAGTGTCAGGGCCCCCCACACACACACTGGGGGAGGGGCACGGGGCTGAGTGTCAGGGCCCCCCACACACACACTGGGGGAGGGGGCAGCACAGGTGTGAGTGTTGTAACATCCTGTTCCCTTCACATAACCATTGCAACGGTGGCAGAGTGCTGCCCTGTCTCCCCCAACCTACTCCCCCGGGGGATGTGGCTGCTGCTGGTGACATGCTGCCCCTGGTTGTGTGGGAGGCTCTGGCAGGGGAAGGGTTAACTCGTTACCACTCTCAGGTCCCTGGACCCTGTGTTCCAGCAGTGGCTCCATGCGGGGGAACTGACTAGCTGGGGGGGGGGGGGGGGAGGAGGGCTTTGGGGGCTGCGCTGTGTGGGAACTAGTGATGATTCACTTGGTGTAGTCATGACATTTCTGGATGGTTACTCCAGGCTGGCAGCTCTCCCTGCCCTGGTAAAGTCTCACTAAGGCTGTCTTGTCAGCCTTACCAAACTTGGTCTTGGCTGGGATCGGGCTGCAGGTGACTCTGTTCGGCTGACATGCCAGCAATTCTGCTCTTCTGGAGTCGCATGGAGAGGTATCTTCTGACTTAATACTTCTCTGATTTAGAGGCTCTCATTTATGTCTGAGTTTTAAGATGAAGAAACTTTTGTTTAGTTGCAAACCCTTGTGTCAGTTCGGGTCTGCCTTTCTGTTGCCTGTCTTAGATTCCTTAGGTGCATCTAGGTCTTTCCGTATCCTGCCTCGCTGATCTGTGTGTAATCGGTGTCCTTTTTGTTTTAATGAAATAACAATCGTTCACTGAGCAGGAAATTGTCCCGAGTTCTAAAGAGCTGGCTGGTCTGGGTTTCTCTAGAATTCAGCAGTTTATGTTAGATTGTTTGAAGGGGACAGAACATCGTACATTGTTTGGGGAATGGGGAGTTGTTTTTGTTTGTTTGTTTGTTTGTTTTTTGTTTTGCTAACTCGCAGATCTCTCTGGGCATTTTATATCTAAATGTACTCCGCCTGTGACCTCCAGTACTTGAGTGCATGTTACAAGCGTGGAGTTAACAACGGAAGAAAGTAAGGGACTTGCTGATGGCTGTGACTTAATTTCAGATGCAGTATTTTCTCAGGTGAGGCATGAAGCCATGCTCTGGTAGTGCTATGTTACTGTGCAGTGAGCCCGAACTGTCTCTGTTAAATGAGTGATATACTGTACAATCAGAACTACCTTTCTTTTTTGTTGAGAGGATACCCACGGTTTGTTATCCTGCTGTTGGTCTTTTATCCGAGAGATCCTGAATGACTGTGAAGAAACTCAGTGTTACTGGTGACCTGCAGTGAGAGCAATAAACATATGCATGAAGGTGATTTCTAAGAAGTTCTGTGATATCCAGTCTGAAAGTGGCATCCATCAGATGCCGCAGGGATGGGAGCATTGGAAATGCGTCTGCATTTGGGAGAGTCCCTCTGTTTGAAAATGCAGTGTTCATAAACCCCTTTCTGCTCGGGGGGGAGAAGGGGCAGAGCAGTGAATACAGCGTGCTGGCCGCTAGGGAAACAGGCATACACTGAGCCTGGGATCTTAAAGGGGAGGACAGGAAGGTCCAAAATGGTCACTGTTACTTTTTTCTGACTTAGAAAGTGTCACTGTCCTAGTTTTCTCTGTCTCTGGTTTGTCCGTGGAGTAAAGTGCCACTGACACAATTGAGACGTCAAACAATTAATTTCTGGTGAAGCCAAGGGACAGTGTATTCCCCGCTCTAACTACATCCGCCCTCTTACCTGCTTAACTGCAGTAGGTGGCTGTGTTAGAGAAGATAAAGGTAACTAACCAACTCTGCAGTTCCAGAGCCACCTCATCCTTTCTGACACCACGTTTATAAATGACAAGGACGTCCGAGCCGACTAATAAAAGGGTCTTACTCTGGGAATTGTGCATGATGAATTGCAGCCTGAATTATACGGACCAGTGCTCTTTCAGTCTAAGCAGGCAGCAAGAAACCAATTAGGGAGAATTACTGCTTGTCAAGTGACTTCATTGAATGGTTTCTTCCCCGTTCTGTAACGGGGAGGGGATTGCTTAAGGCTGCTAGAAAGCACACAAAGGAAAGCTTTTTCATCACGCATGGGGGCTGCTTTCTGAACCGCTCAGCTCACTTGGAAGTTCTGTTTCCAGCAGTCAACCCTTCCATCCTTCCCATTTTAGACCTGTGATGGCTGGTCTCAGAGCGAAGGTCAGCGGAGGTCCAGAGCTGTTCCGCTGAACAGGAAATGCCTCATTCTTTATTGAGGAATCTCTTCCATGCTGTCAGAATAGCAACTGCAGAACTGAGTGCCTTTGCAGTTGCTTATGCTCTGAGGAAGTAATTCTCTTCTTTCCATCCCGTACGGGCACCCATTCCAGACCAGAAGAAGTCTTGGTAACTGTTAGCACCAAGGGTTGAAGAATTTGTTGCCAGTTTGATGTTTAAAATAAAGTTAGAGCCTTTAAAAATGAGTGCTTGGACATTGAATATGTTTCTAAAGTTTCGGTAAGTGAGTTTACTTGTCTCTTGCTTGTGTATTTTCCATAAATGCTCATTAATGAAGACAAATGCGTTATAAACCAAAGAGCTCTCCATCAGCACCCATCTTTGTCTTGTGAATGGTCTTCTGACGTCAGTGTCATCATGTCATGACCACAGAATTGGACGTTAGAGATGGAAAATCTTATGACCTCCATTTATATAGGATTGCTGCTTTCCATGAACATAGCAGGATGATTATATCAAATGATTAATATTCAGCTGTCTCACTGACCCCAGAAATAGCACTATCTGATGCCATGCTAGAGGCCGGGACTAAGGTTTTCAAAAGTGGCTAGTTATATGAGGCATCTCCGTTTTTGGGTCACCAACTTGAAGCTCCTGAAAAGTCCCTGATTTTCAAGGGTTAGTGTTCAGTAATTTCTGGAATTCAGTCCACCTTACAGTTTCTCAGCTGGGACCCGAAATTTCAGGCACTGAAATCACTAGTCCATTTTGAAAATCTTGGCCCAGAGTGCCTCCCGGCTGATTCACAGTTAAATGGGAATCTAGAAAGTGTGATCCAGCAGAATCTGACAGAAGAGTTGTGGAAATAGACAGCTGATTCTGGGAGGGTGGGAGGGGAGCTAATAGAGGGTCAGCATCGTGTTTTATCAGTGCACACATGCAGTGTTGCGTCAGAAATGTGGCTAACCGACTGAATGACCTGCAAGATTTTGTGATGCTCTCTGAGACTGGCCATATAACTGCCCCTGTTCTGGGCGCCTTTCTGGGGAAATCTCTGCATGCTGCTTTTTCTCAGATGCCCTGCTTGAAAAAGCCTCTCTGAGCTTGGGCAGTCGTCAGACAAAAGACTTTACGGCTTCAAAAGCTACTGCACGTTTTCTTCTCTTTCCTCTTCCCCCAACCTGATGAAGGGCATTAAGGAAGGCAGCCACAATGTGACTAGAACATGGCGATTACCTATCAAATGAGGTTCTTGCATAACCTACAAGTCCTTCCCCTATGCTTCCTACCCCTCCCAGGAGCTGACAGTGGCAGCGTTGTAGGAGCAGAATAGAAGCTGGCTTTAATAGGCAGCCTTTCTTAACTGTTAGACAGCCCAGTACTGTGGTGCAGTAACCGTGTGGGCAAATACACGTTTGTGGAAACCGGAGTCTTTGAGAGAGAGAATATTGGCCAGGCCTCTAGGACTGGACACTGGAACTGTCCTTTTCTCTTGTAAAAGTGTATCTAGAATCTTTAACTTCTGCCAGAGACAGGCAGAAAGAATCAGTCTTTTTTGGCAGGGTAATTCCCTCCCCAAGGTTGGACTGTCTGCATTGGGTAGGAGCCAAAGTCCTGCACTTTTGTGTTCCACTGATCCAGAGGTGAGAGTACTAAAACAGATCAGTTAGAAACTAATAGCATCTGCAGTTACAGTAACGGGGATAACATTCAAAGCTTTCCATCTTCATGGTTCAGGGCATAGGTTCATCATGCTTCAGGGGTCAGGAAGAAATTTGCCTCTTTCTATGTTGCTTGCTCTTGCTTGGTTAGCTGCATGATGGGAGGTTTGTCTTCCTCTGAAGCATCTGACATGGCCCACTGTCAGATAGAATATTGAGCTAGATGACCATTGGCCTGTCTGTTTTATTTATTTGTATTGCAATAGTGCCTGGAAGCCTCAGTCGCAGACCGAGACCCCATTGTACTAAGCATAGTACAGACACAATAAAAGGATGGTCCCTGGCCGTCATCACAATATAAGTGTATGATGGGAGGATGGATATGAACAGGTGGATGAAGAAGCACAAGGAAGCAAGAAGACAAGGGGATGTCTGTCTACACTGTGAGCTGGAGGCATAAATTCCAGTTTGAAGAAACATAGTCACCCTAAAAATAGACATGTACCTGCTGTGGCTGGAGGGTTAGCCACCCCAAGTACAGACCTACCGTCTTGGGCGGTATGCACTCGGGGTGGCTAACCCCTCCCGGTGCTCATGCCATCGCTGTTACACTGCTGTTTTTTAGCCTCCTAGCTCGATCTCAGCTAGCGCCAAAACGTCTCCTTAAGCCGGGATTTACATCTTGTAACGAGGCTGGTTCTGGCGGGACCCAACCGAGGGTGCCAAGTCAGGACAAACTGCTTCAAGCAGGGCAGTTACAGCCCCAGGCTGGGGTTTCTGTGCACACCAAGGCAAACCCAACCAGCCAGACAGAGAGGACTTTGGTTTTACCCCACTGGCTAACCACACGTCACACAAGCAATTCCCTCAGACACCCCAGTTTCCCAGTATCTCCAGCAGTGCCACTCGTTATGGGGACAAATGGTTATGAAAACCAAATACCCCAGTAAAAGAAAAAAGGTTCTTTCGATCCCAAAGGACCAAGCCCCAGACCCACGTCACTATACAAATCAGATCTTACCCACAAATCACACTGTTGCCAATCCTTTAGAATCTAAAATCTAAAGGTTTATTCATAAAAGGAAAAAGATACAGAGGAGAGCTGAATTGCATACAGTAATGGCAAAGTTCTTGGTTCAGGCTTGCAGCAGTGATGGAATAAGCAGGTTCAAATCCAGTCTCTGGAGAACATCCCCAGCTGGGATGGGTCATCAGTCCTTGGTTCAAAGCTTCAGGGTAGCGAAGTCCCTCCAGAGGTAAGAAGTGGGACTGAAGACAAGATGGAGGAGCTGCAGCAGCTCTTTACAGTCTCTTGCCATGTGGTCTTTCTTTCTTTGTCCCAAAGACAAGCTGCCCATCCCGTGGCCTGGAAACACCTCACAGTTGGGTCCATAGGCAGGTCCCTGCATACCTTGCTGAGTCGCAAGGTGTGTCTGCCTTCTCTCAGTGGGTCAGTTGTGTAGCTGAGGGTCCTTAATGGGCCATCCAGCAGGCTAGGCAGAGCTGACACCAACTGACACAGAACAAGTTTGAAATACAGACAGTCTAGAGCCAATACTTATATCTTTAAATACAAAAATGATTCTTGCAAACAGATAGCATAATCATAACCAGCAAACCATAACCTCATCTTAGACACCTCATTTGACCCCCTTTATACAAGATTTGGTGCCACTACAGGACTTTGGTTGCAACGATGATCTATACGGTCCCAGATTAGGGTCAATAACGTCACACATCTCCACCTGGAAGTGTAGCTGTACCCGGTATTGGTCAGCAGGACAGGCATGGTCTTAGCACCCCAGCTGCCTAATTGTCAGGTTTGTCGCAGGTGTCACGGCAAAGGAGCGCGTGAAGGAGGACCATGAGATAGCTGTGGGGATCTGTATGGGGAGTGCCTACCAGTGTGAGGTGCAGCGTGGGAGAAAGCACGAAGGTGCTTGTTTGAAGACTGGGAAGTGAATGATGAAGGCCGGCATCACTGGCCAATAGGAGGCAGGAGTCAACATCTCACTAGTGAATAAGAGACGATGGGTAGGCTGGGGATAGGCCATGAAGGGCCTTGAAAGCGCGGGCAAATACTTCCTGTTGGCAAGATAGAGACGGGAGCCAGCAGAGGGATGCAAAGAGAGAGGTAATAAGGTCAAAGAGAGGAGCGAAGAAAATTATCATGGCGGCAGCATTTTAAATTGATGTGAGCGGGAGAAGATGGCGTTTGTCAAAGCCAGCAAAGAGGATGTCATGGTAGTCAAATCGCAAGATGCAGAGAGCCCAGACAAGTGTTTGTGTGTGTACATGGAGATGAAAGGCTGTGTGTCAGAGACATTAGCACCTGGGTACCTAGGAAAACAAGCTTTCAGCTCAATATCATCACTCAGTGGCATTCCAGTCCCGTCGTGTTTCCCCCCTTGTATTAGGAGCCAGCAGACCAGTATTGTGGGCAAGGGAGAGAGAATCTGGTAATGTGCGTGTGGGTTTTGAAACGCAGGCTGGCATGGAAGCTGGAATGCTTTGCGGGTGTATGGGTACAGAAACGTGCTGGCATTTAGAAGCGAGGCTGGGAGAATGCTGTGGGATGCTCTTTACGCCCCCAGAGGCCTTCTTATATCTCTAACAATAGAACTCCTACGCTACTTGTGTGCAGGCCTGACATTCTGGGTGTGCTTCCAGCAATTGCTACTGCTGCATATGGGGTAATTATTTCCAATTACCAATGAAATCAGTTCTGCACAAACATCCTTCTTGCTCACCTTCCTCACTCAGGCCCTGAATGTGCCTCTTTAGGAAGCAGGACGTTGGGAAGAGACATCTGAGAAATGTAAACTTTGCTGAGCCTTTGCTATAACTCCTGCCCTAGATCTCTGAGCATGTGTACATCTCCAGCTGTTCTCCCGATCCTCCATGACTCTGACAGCTTTCAGGCTTCAGCATGGTGCCTGTGGAATGCGATTGTCTGTCCCAGTCCCTTTCCTGGGTTCCGTGCCAGCTAGGTGTCCTATGCCTTAGGGCAGGCCTGCCCATCTCCCTGCCTTTCAGGCTGTCCCATGCCATGGAGAAAGTGAATCCAGTGAGTTTATTATTTGTGGCTGACTTCATTGCGCTGTGTCAGGATACGAGACTTAGCCATGCCTCGGGCTACTGATATTTCTAACTTATTGCCACATAATTCATTAGTTTCAGACTCTCTAACATAGTCTAAGCGAGGCTAGAAAACACTTTATAAATATCTTCCCATCATCACAAGATATTTCTGTCTAACAGCTTCATCCGTTGTCTTCTTTACATACAAATTACAGCTCTTGCGTGGTGAGAAGCACTTATCCCCAGATGAACGCCAATCACTTTGCAGAACAAAATGTTTCAGGTTCCTTTAAGGTGAACTGCACAGCACGCAAGCCCCTTTGGCTCCAACTTCTCCCTATCACTGGGGCAAAAGGGTCCCCTCAAATTGGTTTGGCTTTTTTGTTAAAGTTCTGCTTGTTTTTTGCATTAGAAATTTACGGTCCTGGTTTCTTCCTTCCCTGGAGGACCCAGGCAAGCGGGGGACCTCGCCGGTGAAGCCATGTGAGGTTGCTGCCCTTGGGAGAGGGGCTGCTGAGTTTAGACTTTCCTAGGGTGATCAGATGTCCCGATTTTTATAGGGACCATCCCAATATTTGAGGCTTTTTCTTCTGTAGGCACCTATTACCCCCCCACCTCCTGTCCCGATTTTTCACACTTGCTGTCTGGCCACCCTAGACTTTCCTCCCCCATGCACCCACGCCCATTCACAAGTGGGCAGAGCTGCCGCTCAGGTTACAGCCTCATGTGACATTATTTGTCACATCAGCCATATAACAGTACTGTGCACTGGCATAGCACTTTGTATCCATAAATTTCAATGCACGTCACAGAGAGGGAGCATCATAATTCCCATTTTACAGGTTGGGAAATTGAGGCACAGAAAGGCTAAAGGAGTGGGAAATAGTCCCCAGGGGCCTGTTTTCCAGTGCCCTGCTTTGACCACTAGACATGGTGAAATGTGTTGCAGGGTCTTGAATTAGTCCCTTAACAGAAAATGTGTAAGATGTAAATTGGGCAAAGGTTATGGAGAGCTGACCGTGGCTGTGATGGGAACCTGAAGTTGATCTGGGGTAAGTCTGTGGTGTGGGGGAGCAGGAGATTTGCCGGTTCCCCTAAAGCTGTCGTGCAATACATGCATTACAGAGCGCTGTCTATCTCCTTTCAGGAATAAAGACTCGACCGGAGGCAACGTTGCAGTCATGGGAAAGGATTATTACAAGACCTTGGGGCTCCAGTCTGGAGCAAATGAAGATGAGATCAAGAAAGCTTATCGGAAAATGGCCCTGAAGTATCACCCTGATAAAAACAAAGACCCCAGTGCAGAGGAGAAGTTCAAGGAGATTGCAGAGGCATATGATGTCCTGAGTGATCCCAAGAAAAGGGCTGTCTATGATCAATATGGGGAAGAAGGTAAGGGGCTGGGATGGCAAATGGCTTGGTGGCGAGTGGGGTTTCAGTGTGCTGCTGTAAGCAAGAAAGCGTTTATACGTTAAAAAAAGGTAGCTAACCTTCACCGGTGTGGGTGGCATGTCCGGAATTATCCCCATGACTCATTCCTGCCTCTCAAACAAGGTTACTACTACCCAAGCTGGGAAGAACAAACACCCAGACGATGCCGTCTCTCCTAAGAGCCAAAGAGAATCGCTTGACCTAGTTCTTGACTAATTATTCTGTGTCCAATCAAAGCCAGTCTTCAGCATGCAATCCCAACTCCTGGGCACCACCTGGCGCTCCCTGCCCTCATCAGACAAAGATGCCAGTTAGATAAGGAAGAAGGATGTACGGGGAGCTAAATCAAGGCAGTCATTGCCGCTCACTCTGATAGTTTCATGAACAAAATGGGCACTTCTTCGCTTTTCACCCCATTATTCTGAAGGCTGAATCACTTCTTGAGAGCATAGAAATGAAAGGTGTTCATATCCTCGATCAGATATGGGCTGCAGAATAACTCTCTACTAACTCTTTCCTTCACACAGATTCTCTAGCTACAAACACTCTCTTCCCCCTTTTTCCTTTCACTGGGGCTTAGTGTGTCTGTGCAGTGGTGTTACTTATGCACTAGTTCCACTCTTTTTTCCTCTTGTTCTTGCTGGTATGTACTGACCTACATGTTTCAAAGCCTTTCCCAATTTAAGTAATAGATTCTTGTTTTGAAATGAAGTCGCTGCTGTTGTCTCCCTGTTGGCATGGAGTAGGGAGCTGTTCCACCACGCACAGCCTTATTAGTAGAATATGAAAGCTTCTGCAGCCCTATTTGCTGAGGATGAAGAGAGCAGAGAATAGCATTTGCATTAATCAGCAAAAGAGTTTAGCACTTAAAAGAGCAGAAGGTCTGGTGTAAACAGGCTGCTCAGGTAGCAAGATGTATTCTCCCAAGAGGCTTAATGAGTAGGTGTATCAGCTTTTCTGAGGCATCACCATAAATATGCAGGGGTCAAAGATACCTTTGTGCCCTCGGGAGCAGAAAGGGATCTCTCTACAGTTAGCAACCAAAGTCTCTGATCTTAGCGTGATGCTGTTTGAATGATTAGTGGCAAGAGTCTCAATCCTCTCCCTCTGGGTATGGGAGAACTAGGCACATCAGCAACATGTGAAGAGAACTGAAGAGCGTCTTTGGGAAATGGTGACAGGAAGGCGCTCTCACTTAGTGCCTCCGCGTGCTGCACAGAAGGTGGGGCTGCTGTAATTCCCAGTGCGTGGCTTGGAAGCTTTATTGAGAGCTGGGGTTGCTAGTTTTTCTGGTTTATCTAAGCAAGTAAGAGAGGCCCACAAAAGTTTTAGAAAATCTCCATCCTGGAAGTTCTCACTCCTAAAATCACTTGCCCGTGACTGAGCCAGTTAAGTATGTCGCTGCTGCGATGGACTGTCTGAACTGCAGCAGTCCTCTGCTGTCTAAAATCAGAATCACCTGCCTCCAGTGAAAAAACAAACCCTCTGGGAGGATTCATCAGAACAAGACTTTTATTTCTGTTGGGGTGTAACTAGGAACGGGGGGATTAAATTGAAAGGCAAACACAGCTGAATTGAGGGTGAGAGAGGCTCCCCACGGGAGAAGGGAGAGTGCCATCACGAAGCACTGTATTAAGCTCTAGAAAAAGGACACTGGAGAAGAACCTCCCAGGGCCCTGAGGGAATGACTGGCTGAGATTTAATAGTCCTGACTCTCCCTCGCTCCTGTGCTGCCCTGTTTAGACTGACAGGTAAAAGCTGCAGTAACTGTGTTGTTTATAGATGCTTTAAAGCATGTTGGATGCTAAATGTCAGCAGTTTCTCACCTCATGGCTTGGTCTGACCAGGAAGGTGGGTCACCTGTGGGCTTTGCAGTGACCTCAACTTTCATCTCCCTGCACACTGCTGCTTCCCCAGGTCTGTGGATATCCCAGTTTTCTCCCCTGCTGCCAGGAGATGGTGGAGCTTTCTTAAACATTGCTTGGTCCTTGAAGAAGCCCAGCTCCAGGCAAACCTGAGGTTGATGTAAAACTGAACAGGGGATCTAAACTGCCGCTGAAGAAATGTGTTCACTTCATGCACCCTGTCTGCATTGTCCCCATTCAGAGCCTCTCCAAGCTCATTCCTGCCGGCAGGTGCCCTTCTGTGAAGGGAATGGGGTTCAAAGACAGCCTGTCTGCATAGAGTCCAGCTTAGTGCGCCATCCCAGGACACGTTCCTCAGGCCTAGGGCCCTACCAAATTCATGGCCATGAAAAACGTGTTACAGACGGTGAAATGTGGGCTTTTACCCTATAGTATACAGATTTCACAGGGGAGACCAGTGTTTCTCGAATTGGGGGTCCTGACCCAAAAAGGAGTTGCTGGGAGGTCACCAGGTTATTTTAGGGGCGTTGGGGTATGGCCACCCTTACTTCTGCACTGAATTCAGAGCTGGGCTGCCGGAGAGCAGCAGCTGTTAGCTGGGTGCCCAGCTTTGAAGGCAGCACCCCCCAGCAGCAGCGCAGAAATAAGGGTGGTGATACCAGACCAGGCCACCCTTACTTCTGCGCTGCAGCTGGCAGGGCTCTGCCTTCAGAGCTGGGCTCCCGGCCAGCAGCTGTCGCTCTCCAGCTGCTCAGCTCTGAAGGCAGGGGCAGCAGTGCAGAAGTAAGGGTAGCAGTCCCGCGACTCCCCCCCCTCCCCCCCCAGTAACCTTGTGGACCCCCCCGCCCCACAACTCCTTTTTGGGTCAGGACCCCTACAATCACCACACCGTGACATTTCAGATTTAAATGGCTGAAATTATAGAATTTATTATTTTCAAAATCTTCGCACTGGGAAATTGACCAAAGTGGACTGTGAATTTGGTAGGGCCCTACTCATGCCAGACTGCTTCAGTGCTGGATTAGCAGTCGGAATAAATACACAGTGCTAGGGCCTAGGCTCTGCCCTTGGCCACGCCAGCAGATGATGGTCCCTGTGGGGTCAGGGGAGGAACAGCATGGGCAGCGTCTGATCCTTTGTCTCCCCTTTTGGGTTCCACATTCTGTATTTTGCCAATATTCAGTGGGGTTGGCAGCGGGTTTCATTTTCTCCCATTGGACGCTGATGCTGCCAGCGTATCCCATGGAATCACCCTCCAGAAATCGCTGCCCCCACAACTGTGAGGCTCAAATGCCAACTGTAACTGAGAACTTGAGTTTATTCTTGGTGTCAGTGGCTCCTTACCCTATGAACTTTCATGGTGCTGAGCTGGACAGAAGGGACTCCCCACAGCCCCGTTCAGGAGCTAAGATCTGTGCTGTAGCACTGGTCTCCCTCCCCTTTATCAGTGTTTCATCTCTTTGACTGTGGTCTGGATAGAATTCTTCTAGCCGGCGCCACGTGGCTCCCGCACATGCACAGCTGAGTTCCGGCTGGGGGGCGGTGACACAGCAGGTAGTAACTGGCCTTTGAGGGTTAGGGATAATAAGGCCTCAGCTCTTCCCCACCTTGTCCTAAAGGCTCGGGTGCAGAAGTAGGATCAGGCTAGGCATTTTCCCATGATTTCCATCTGCTTCCCAGTTTATACTGCTAGGGCCAATGCAAACATTCTGGGCTTCACCACTGTCACATGCCATGGGCTGTGCAAACAAGTCTCTCATTGCTCTCCTCTGTTAGGAGCCTTTAGTGGGTGCTAACACAGACTCTTCCGATCTCTTCCATTTGTGGCGGACCATGAAATCCAAACCGTGCTGCTTCTCAGTGGTTTGGGAAGGGACAACTTGCCCTGCAGGAGCAACTAAGTAATTAATGGCAATGTCAAAAATCAAATCAGCCTCAGTGACTAAGCAACCTCTGTTCAAAAGAGCCTGTTAAGGGTTCTTCCATTGCTGGCGCCTCAAACTGGCGGGTGGCATCCGGGCAAAGCATGGCTGCTCCTGGCCAGAAGGGGAGGCAAGAGGAAATTAATGGCTTTGTTTCTTTGAGTGTGGAGGGAAGAATCCAGAGGAAACTGACCAGCTGTTTCTAAACGAAATTAAACCATTCACAAAGCAACACGTGGACTCGGAACCCTCTCACAGGGGTTTGAACCCTGGGGTGGAATTCAAACACTGAAACTCTCTTCCCTCCAAGGAAGAAGGGGCTTGTCATCTGGCCATAGTTGGTGAAATTGACCCCACGCCCAGCCATACCCCTTGCATCCTGTTTGGGGAGTTTATGTGGGATGAGAGGAAGGTTGGTTCAGTAGGAAGGATTCTAGCCTGGGACTGGGAGACATGGGTCCCTGTAACGGCACCAAACACGCTAACCCATCTCTCAAGGCTTCTGTGTGAGGCATCCTGTGTGACCTTGGGCAAGTCCTTAGTCTCTCTCTGCCTCAGCCCCTCATTTGTGCAATAGGGGAGACAGCCCTGCCCCCCTCAGTGGGTTGTGAGGTGCTCCCATACAGCAGTGACGCAGGCTAGATACATGCCTTGTATGGCCAGACAGGTCATGTGCAGAACTCACCCACGCTGGTAACTGGACGCCTCCCTTTCCAGAAGCCTTGAGAGAAGGGTTAGCAGTAGTTTAGCGCCTTTGCAGTAGCGTGCCCTGGAGGGAGGCAGACCTAGAAAGAAGCCCCGAGTCGCAATGTGCCCCGCTGGTGGTTGCCAGTACCTTCTCATGCACAGAGCCAGCCTCTCTTTGCTCACGTGAGCCCAGCTCGTGCCTTCTGCTCCGTTCCACAGCAGAATCAAACTGCTGATGTCTGAGTGTTGCTGTGACACAAATGCAGCATTAGCTGTTGCCGGAGGATCACGTAGATGTTCTGATGTGGGAGGGGGGGTGTCTGTCTAACCACCTACTTGAAAGCACTGGGGGCGGACCTCCAGTTCCGTTCTTTGCCAGGTTTGGGACACTAGATCAGCCCCAACAGGCTAGCACGGGTAGAAGGAGACCTGCTGTGATGCTGGGCTTTTGCGGGACTGGGCAAGGGGGCTCAGACAGCACACCACCCCTCACCCCCACAAGGCCTTGGGCAAAAGAAAAGAAGAATATTTGCAGACTAGATTAAATTTGATGCAGATCAGTTTCAGTATATGTACTGGTCTTACATGTGCTTCCAAGCCTAAGTCCCCTTTGCACAGTGTTGTGGAGGCTTAAGGTGTGTGGCTGGCAGATGGGGAGCCTTCGCTTATGTGTATTTTGTTCAAGCCAACAAAAGACCTCTGCATCCCAAGGCAAACTCATCCGTCAAGACCGAGAGAAAAGAACAACAAGTTTGTCCTGCTTTTGCCTGGCTTGCGTCTCCTGCTGCTCGCTCTGACTAGAGGGGTTGGCACAGGACGTCAGCTTTTCAGAAATAGCACTATTTTGTAAGTGGAGAGCTGAAAATAGACACTGAGCTGGGCTTGGTTAGACCCCTTCTTGACCCCTCCAATCAAAAGCATGTGACACAACATCCCAAAGCATGTGGAATGTGAAGGGGACACTGGAAGAAGTCTACCCCCAGCCCTGCGTGACCTGCTGGGCACCTTAGTGATCCTCTTTGTGTTTTTATTGTAGATACACTTTTGAGAGGGGCTGTCTGCCTCACACCCTGGCTGTGTAGGAACTTCCAGGGGTTTGCTGTGGACAGATATAAACGTACGGTGTCTGAGCAGAATCAAGTAGGAGCAGGCTTCTGGGCTGGGTTGGGCCTGAGAGAAGCCCTAGTTTAAGAAGATCTTTTGCTAGTTACCAAAAGAAATAAATATCCAACTTATTTGCTGTTCTTATCTCTGGGTTCTGCTCCTGAGCTCCACTCCACCGACTGACCTGGGCTGGTCATGGTGCAGGGGAAAGCGAGTATTTTTTAAAAACAAAAAGCCATCATCCCCCCTCAAACTTGACTCCCATCAACAAGACCTGATACTAATATCTCAGGTTGTTGAGCCATGACTTCGTTTGCAAAGTACTTTGTGGCCCTCATGTTAGCCCCTTTCATCTGAGAGTGTAGTGTGTTTCTCACTCGCACGCTCATTTGTGGTGGAGAGGCTAGTTAGTGTATAAATGCTGACCTCCCATCAGTCTGTGTGAAAAAGCCCTGACTCCACAATTGCTCACTGAGTTCAAAGCCTTTCATAAATTGCAAAGTATGCCACTGCTGGGCCATGAGTCCATGGTGCAGTTCAGACGCCTTGGGAGATGCAATAGATCACAGCATGAACGGGGTGTTCAGGGGGTAATGTACTGCTGACATAAAGAGAGTATTCAGGCCTGCCTTTGTCGGAACTTGGACTTCTAATTTGTGTCGCTAAATTAGTCTGAAAGAGCCATCAACTGCCTAGTCCATATTGTCATTGGACTCCAGCAGTTGCCATGCTGTGAAATTTAACAGATTTACAGAGACCGAATTGCTTCCTGCAGTACAGCAGGAAGGAACACAGGAAGATTATGCTTAGGAGCCTTGCATGCAGGGGCAGCGAGTTATATGGGCCCATGGTGCCTGTGCTCCAGGAATATTCAGGGCCCGGGGGCCTAGCTCCACCAATGTTCGGGGCCAGGTCTCTTCCCTGGCCCCGCCTGCTGCCTCCGTGCACCTCCCTCATAGTGTCTCCCAGCCCTGCCTGCCACCCCCGGCTATTTAAAAGGGCCCGGGGGCCACCGTTGCCGCCAACACCAGCAGCGCAGCAGGGCTAAGGCAGCTTCCTGCCCACCCTTGCTCTGCGCCACTCCTGGAAGCAGTCGGCACGTCCCTTTGGCCCCGGGGGTGGGGGGTGTCTCCACACGCTGCCCCTGCCCCGAGCGCCAACTCTGCAGCTCCCATTGGCCGGTAACTGGTGCCTGCGGGCAGCAGCACGCCAAGAACCCCCACCTTCTAGCTCGGGAAGATAAGTTTGCTCAGCTTTGCTCAGAAGATAACTGCTAGCTAGTTTCTCCAGTGGAAAAAGGACGCAGACTGTGGCCAGGTTGGGGGTGAAGGAGGGATGTGAGAGGCTGTGTGGGATCCTGCTGCCTAGAGAGTGGTAGAAAGGAGCTTGCAACACCAAGACTGAATTCCACCTTTGGTTCCCATGCTGCATATTAGAAAAAACCAACAAAAGTCTAGTCAGGGTGGCCCAGCTGTTGCTCTGTCTGCATTCCCTGTGCGTCCGGCAGGACTAGAAGGGAACAACCTTCTGCAATGGATTTTGTTAACGTTGTCCTTTCCTTGCTGTGTTCTAGGGCTCAAAACTGGAGGCGGTTCCTCTGGCGGCTCCGGCAACACTTTCCACTACACCTTCCACGGAGACCCACACGCCACCTTTGCTTCTTTCTTCGGCGGCTCCAATCCCTTCGACATCTTCTTTGCCAGCAGTCGCTCCCGGGCATTCAATGGGTTCGATCAGGAAGACATGGATATCGATGACGACGATGACCCTTTCAGCGCCTTTGGACGGTTCGGCTTCAACGGCATCAACGGAGTCCATCGACGGCACCCGGAGCCTCTCCACACACGAAGAAAGGTCCAGGACCCACCCATCATCCACGAGCTCAGGGTCTCCCTGGAAGAAATCTACCATGGCTCTACCAAAAGGATGAAAATCACCCGCCGGCGGCTGAACCCTGACGGGAGAACCACAAGGACCGAGGATAAGATATTGAACATTGTCATTAAAAGGGGGTGGAAAGAAGGAACCAAAATCACCTTTCCCAAAGAAGGAGATGCCACGCCAGACAACATCCCTGCCGATATCGTCTTCGTTCTCAAGGACAAGCCTCACACGCATTTCAAGCGAGATGGCACAAACGTGGTCTACATGGCTATGATCAGTCTTAAAGAGGTGGGTCAGTGGGAGCTCCCCCCCCCCGCTGTGCTCCTTGGAGATGAGTTTGCTAGTTTGAACAGAACAGATGAGAAGGGCGATTAACTTGTATGGGATTAGAAGGTCACATAGGGTGTAATAAGCCAAAGCAAGAGAGATCTACAGAGTGGAGTGTTCTCCCTTTGCTTTACAGACCAACGTCCATTCCTGTTTTCAGGAATTACACAACCTCAGTACTTCAGTCTCTAGGTCCAACTGATACTGTTTTAACTGCTCTAATTACCCTTTTCCCCCTGCTTGAGTGCCAAGCTTCACCATTAATATGGGATGTTCATGTCTGGAAAAGAGCTCAGACTCTGCATCAGCTCAAAAGAGAAACTAATCCGGTGGCTTGTGCCTGTTCAGCCCCATTTCTTGGTGTTGCCCCAAACACCACAGCTTGTCACTCTTTGACATCAGTGTTCTGCACTTATATACCAGGCTGACTGTGGCTGGGGCGGTGGGTTGGTGGTCCCAGTGAGGTTGCAGGTTTGTTGGCGTGGCCGGACGGGGACAGTTTGCATGGCACCCTGGTCCTCACTACGCCTTGCTTGAGCCTGTGCCAGCTGTGCCTTTCTGTTCTCTCCCTCCTGGGCTGCGTGCATTGCATTCTTTATTCAAGCAGCATATGAAGGTAGTTTTGTACTTTGCAGAACAAGTAAGTTATGGTCTCTGGCCCATGGAGTTTGCAATGGAACTTTAGAGGGGACTTCAGGAGTCAGAGCAACAAGCAGCACGAGGCAGGAGTGGAAAGGAAGACAAGGGTAACCCACATTCATGAGATGCATGTTTGATGGTACTGCTGTCTAACTTCTTTTTAATAATTCCCAGCTGGCAGGTACATTTAAAATTTAAATTGCTAGCAGCTGCAATTTACCATTCACTTCAGATTGTAGAGGTTGTCTGTCTTGGTGGGTGGATTTTTTTAAAGACCGATTTAGTCCACGTACGCAAATGCATTTTATAGAAAAAAGCTCTGCGGATCAGATCTTGGGTACAAACGTCTCAGTGTGTGCCCTTGAGTCAGGATATATCTGGATGGCTCCCCTTCCTCTAAAAGCTTGAGGGAACTTTCCCATGGGCATCCCACTACCAGGGTGTGACTTTCCCTCATGCATTTGAATGGAGCGCCACTTCCCAGCCACACTGTGACCGTTCAGAGCTGGGTGTTCTAGGGGACACTCTTCTAAAGGTACGTTGGAGACACTGGAAACCGAAGTTTACTTTTGAAGTGTGCAGCTCTGTTTTCTGTAGCCAGCAATACCTGGGAGAGGCAGCGCTGTTGCCATATCTCAGATGCTTCCTCAGTGCCTTCCTCACAAAGATGCCTGTCACACATCAGACCTCAGTGGGTCCTTCTGATATTGGTTCATGTTCCTCCAGCATCTTCTGTCAGTTTCATGTTTCCGGCTGAGGATGTGTGTGGTGGGGAGTGGCACCATCAATATTAAACACAGAGAATCTGCCCCTGTTCTGCTCCCTTTACCTGAGCACTGCAACACAAAGGCAGAAAATCACCCAAGAGTCCTCAGTGGCCTTAGAGAGGGCATAGCTAGTTGCTATGCCTCCTTCCTTGCAGCCCTGCTGCAGAGGGGAGGTGGAGTGGGGCTGGAGCATCATGTGCTCCAGCTCTCCCATGGTCTCCAAGTATCCCTGGTTTCTAACCTACTCTAATCAAAGCTAGGGTGGAGAATCAGGGAGCCGTAACTAGTCGTTGGTTCTCAGTATCTCGTGGGTTGCCCTGGGTGGTTGGGTGGGATCCATCCTGTGCTGGGAGCAACTCTGGCAGACTCCTATCCTGCTGTCCCAGGCTCCTGCAGCCCATGAGGGAAACCTCCCCATTGTGACAGGACTGATTCAAACCCTTTAGTTTAAAACTGGCAGCGAGCCACGTACTTAATTCTTCATCAGATACGCCCCTCCTTAGTACCCTCGCCCTCCCAGGCCTCAGGTCAGACATGATCAGCTGACCCATCAGACTTTGACAACCATCCTGTGTCGCTATCACATGATAAAACTAGTGATCAAACCCGGGGAGGGGGTGCAGAAGTGAGATACTTCCCCTGGTCTCCGAGCCCAGGTACCATTGAACTCTGTGTTGATCGTTCCAGTCACTCACGTCTGTCCATGGCGAGCAAGCCAGCGCTGGGTGCTCGCTGCCACCTGGCATGGCCCAACAGGAGCAGCCTAGCGGGAGACACATCTGAGAGGGCTTCCCCAGAGACACGTGGGCAGCAGAAAACTGTCCGTTCTTAACATTATGTGAGCGGCTCAGTGGGAGGCAGAGAGAGGAAGAAGCAGACCTGCTATTGGGGGGAGCCAGGATTTACCTGTGATACTGCTGCCTGAAGGTAACTTCACAAGTCTGAGTTAAACCAGCCCCACCAGAAACTTACCATTTACACTCGGAAGCAGCCTCCCTGTGAATGCTTCAGCTAAGATCCTAGTTTTAGTGGCATCTGCTGTTCACAGACCTAGTGAGGCACTCAGTGGCTTCCCTGTTTGTCTTGCGGCCTTGTCCTGTCCCCATTGAAGTCAAAGGCAAAACTCATTGGCTGTACTGGGAGCAGAATGAGGCCCATAGTTAAATTAGGTAAATCCCTACATTTATAGCTTGGCACAGCATTCAGCCATAAAACTTTCTGGGATTTAATCCATGAGGGCAAATGTCACTTGGGGCCCCCTCTTTAATGTGGAGATGTGGACTGTGGAGACAAAAGGTTCCAGGGTGAAGAGTAGTTTGGCGGCTTGAATTAAGGTGGAGCATTGCATGCTGGGACTCCTGTCAGTGGGCTGCACCATCATAATAAAAATGAACTGCTCTCATATATCAAATTATATGCAAATGTGGTGTCCCCTTGGTTCCTGGCAAGTTGCCAGTGCAGTCCCTAACCTTTCAGAGTGGTGGGCATAGATATCAGTTCTGTCTGTCATCTCAGTGAAGGCAGTGTGGGGATTGGTCATTCCACTACAGTTCATCCAGTCCAGGGGATTGTTTTCCATAGTTAGTGTTGCCAATTTCTTGCCTGGTTTCACTGGTGTGAAGGGCTAGAGTAGGGGAGGGAACCATCTGTACTAAGGAAATGTTAAAAATCCACTGTAGTGTCACTAGGTCTGCTGCCTTCTTTCTTGCATTTTTGAATGCTTTGTTGTGCTAACAGGCATGCCAGTTTACACTTTCAGATTCTCATGCACTGACTCAGTGCTGCAGCGCCATGTGTGAGCGACAAGCACAGGAGAGGGCTGTCGGTCGTCTTTTAAATCACATCCCTTGGAATTAAACATAAATGTTCCAGGAGCACTTCTCTTGGCCTACTGAGCTCTCTGAAAGCTGATTCTAAAATACATAAATTTGGGGCCAAATTCAAACTGAGTCCTTTGAAATCATTAACGCCATTCACACATGTCAGTCTGCAGATGACGCTAAAGTTTTAATTTTGATACGTTATTTCTCCAATCAGTTTCAAACTTGATGGGGAAAGGGTTCAAGATATTTGTGGGCGGGAATTTTTTTCAAACAGTCTTGTAGATGCCATAGTGAAATCAGTGTGTCAGTTTACTCTGTTGCCTCTCCCGACAGTAGTAAAGGGACACCGTCTGCTTAAAATCTAATCATCTTAAAAATTAGTTGATTATAGTTTTGGTTACTCTGCCTGCCATCGAGCCCTCTGCCAAGTTGTGTGCTTCGCCATCATGTTTTCCATGTAGTAGGTTTCTGACTCCACCCCCTGTTGCTGTATCTTCTAGAAAGTAAAGAGTTTATATTTCATTTCACTTCTATTTATATGGCCATTAAGTGTTACTTGTAACAGAAATTTCAGACAAACTTTAACTTTTTAAAATTTGACTTGACCTCTTTGCAAACAACTGTGAGATCTGCAGGCTCCACTCAGCGGAGTTGATGCATGAGCTCAGGTGAGGAAGGAGGAGTTAGTTAAAACTGCTAATAACCAATCTGTTGAAAGCCGACTTGGCCTGATTTTCAGAGGGTGATGAGCACGCAGCTCCTGCTGAAGCTAATGGGAGCTCCAGGTGCGCTGCACCTCAGGGCAAGGATGTGGTGAGGACTTAGGGGTGGGATTGTCAGGAAGAGACCAAAATGCACCAGCTGCATGCAGAAAGTGGGGAAGAGTGAGCAAAACTAACCTGGTTCCCTCAGCCTGGAGAAGGGAGCCAATCTCCTCCTGGAATGCAGCGAGTTCTAAACCCTGGAAGATCACCGTTCATCATCACAGAAGTGCTGACAGCTGCTGAACTGCAGCATTGTGAATGGGATTCTAGACACAGCCAGGCTTCCACCTCATTGCTACAGACTGTCTGCCTTTCATTGCTCTCGGTGCCTGAACCTGCGGTGCTGGGGCTGGTCAGTACCCGGTTCAGAGCATGGGCTGGTTTGGCTCTCTCAGAAAAGTAAGGCTGCTAGAGCGGCTTTAGAGGTCTCCGAGTAACACGGCTTGGCAACGCTCCTGGAGACTCTTGGGCTGCATTGTCAGCACTAAGCTCCTAGTCCCGGGTGGCAGGGAAATGTACCCATTTTACGGCTGGTTTGACTGACGTGTTTGTGGTGTCGGGCAGAGCTGGGAATAGAGCCCATGGTTCCTCATTTCCATTCTATCTCCAGCCGCTGGAGAGCCCGCCCTCCGCAGCCTGACTGTTCGCATTCTCGGCCCGCTTCCAAAGAAGCGAAAATGATTCAGTGAATGTGAGCTGCCTCTGGCATCAGAGCTCTTGTTTTCTTCTGTCCCCTAAAGGGAGCAGGGGTGGGCCCTTGCAATGCTGCTGGACCTGCATTCCCCTGGGTGGAGAAGAAGAGGGTATTTTGCTAATGACCGGGGGGAATTGCAGCCTCTTGTGTCTATGACAGCCTCCCCAGATGGCATTAAAGGATATCTGAATGGGGGATATAGATTCTTCCTTGTGCCCTGTACTGTGATGTCTGAAAGTGGCATGAAAGATTTTCCCAAAGAAAGGGGTAAGGA